ATCTCCGTACTGACCAAATTCCGCGTTGTCCCGCCCCATCTCATCCTACACATGTTCAAAGTCTGTCTGGACAGTTTTTCAGGTACAAATGTTGAGAATATCGCTCTCCTCTTAGAGGGTTGCGGACGATTCTTGCTGAGGAGTGAGGACACCGGAGCGAGGTTCAAAACCATGGTGAATTCTTTATGGATATGTTATTGGGGGGGTGCTGATATCGTGTTAGATCGAGTTGATGAGACGCAAACAGAGCATGCAGCATTTTGACCAGCGGCAATTGCTACTTCTAGAGAATGCATATTACCAGGTAAATAGTATACTATTCTACATTATGTTATTTTACCGGAATGCTTTAGTGTAATCCCCCTGAGCGGTCACCTCGAGTAGAGAAGCACCGCTCGCCTATGGTGCTTTTCATCAGGCATCTCGTTTATGACGTATTGGTCAAGAAGACGATTGACAAAGTCCTGAGATTGATACGTAAATTGGATTGGAACGATGAAGAGGTTAGTTCATTTGTTAGTTAATGTCATCTACGTTTTAAGCTTTGTGCTCTAGACGGCCCGTACACTACACAACGTCTTCACTAAGCCATGGAAGGTTAAATACAGCAATATTAATCTCTTGGCTATGCTCACTTATGATCTGCAACGATATCATCCCGCCTTTGCCGTATCTGTTGTCGATCAAGTTCTTGAAGATATTAGACGGGGACTCGAACAGAATGTATACAAAACCAATCAGCGACGCATTTCGACCATGAAATACCTCGGAGAGTTGTATATTTATAGATTGATCGGGTCAGGGATGGTTTTTGATACTTTGTGGTCATTGATTACTTTCGGGCATCGTAAGTCGCTAATGGAATTTTTGTTCTCTAAGGTGATCTGATGCGGAATGATACAGCTGATGGAAGACCACTTCCTGGGCAGTTTTCTACAATCGACGCCCCCGATGATTATTTCCGCATCCGTCTGGTTTGCACCCTTATTGACACAGTGGGGATGTGCTTCGATCGCGGAACCCAGAAGAAGAAACTGGATAACTTTTTGACATTCTTCCAGGTCTGTCTATCGATGTGTCTTTGTCTGAACTGGCTTCCTTAACCTCTGCATAGCTGTACACGCTGTGCAAAGAACAGCCATTACCCATGGATGTTGAATTTATGCTCTCAGATACCCTTGAGGTGAGGTTTATGGAATTATTATCATAGTATCGTGGTTACTCAGGTACTATGGTTTTGAGGCTGTTCGCCCACAATTAGTCAGGTTTAAAACTTTTGACGAAGCAGCATTCGCTGTTGACGATCTGGTAACTTCAATAATCTCACAGACGACAGGTATGGAGATGAAAGAAAGCTGTGACCGATCTAATAACGTTATATTTAGATGGTGACGACAGCGGAGATGACAGTGGCGATGAACACGATCGTCGAGATGAGGAGGAAGAAGACGATGGAGTAGATGGACAGGAAGATATAGTAATCTCTTTCCTGTGTCACGTTGCTATCTACTTATGCATGCCCCAGACTCAAGAACGCCCAGCATCGCCCGATGCCGTTGTCGTTCGTTCCACGCACGAGAATCTTGGTCCTAATGAAGAGGCCGACGCCGACTTTGCAAAAGAGCTGGCCAAGATGGTGTCGGACTCCTCAAGCGACTCCAGGAAAGTCGATAAGCGTACCGCGCTTGCCCTTTGGGATACTTCTGCACTCCCCGGGGGCCTGGGTAAGAAACGTACAGAGGAATCTGAGAGCCTAAGCTCGGAGCAGGAAGGCGTAATGAAGTTTACCCTTATTTCTAAGAAGGGAAACAAGACCCAAGTGAGTCGAGAGTGTAGCACGTTATACCGGTAGGGCGCTAATTACTCCTGTTATAGACGCGCCAACTCCCTATTCCCGCAACATCCGCGCTTGCGGTTCATACGCGAACTGCACAGCTCCAAGACAAGGCAGAACAGCAGCATTTGAAACAATTTGTATTGGATTATGAACAACGGGAAGAAATTGAAGAAATTAAAGGTGACCAATCAACTTTGCGCCGTCGAGAGTTCGTTTTACTAACGACGGAATTGGCAAAACCACAGCTTTGGAACGGACCAAGGGTATACGAATACGGTTTGCGACCTAGCATCGCTTTACGGGATATATGATCAGCCTATGAGCACTTTTGTTGCGGTCCCGCTTTGCTTCGTTGGAGACGACTCGCTTTGGATGGCCGCTTTGCGCCTGGCGATGCGACGCATGTCTGCGCCCAAGCCGCCACCTGAGCAACCCCTAAAGGATATGGAACTTGCGAGCAAATTGGGGCAAGACCTGGCTGTGCCTGGGAGAGGTTTGGTCACAGCTTTACGAGCAGCTGAGGAGGAATTTCTTACCCGATGTAGTGTATTTTTTTTGAGTGTGTTTGTAAATAAGCTATGCAAAGCACCTATTTGCCTATTTTGCCAGTGCATGGATCGATGTCACGTCATACATGCAACCAAAGGGCCCAAACCAGTGCTCCACTGTGACAATAGGGACCAAAGCGCTAACAAACTGGTTATAGTATTTATATCGCTTTATTACGCCCTCACAGCTCCTCAGAACGACCCTCTTAATTATTTCAGATAATGCCTCCAGAAATCACCACTGCAAGAGCCCAGCCTTCACTCCGTATAAGTGCGCAATTACCCGGTGAGATAGATACTTCCGAAGCGCTGCACGGTTGCCTCACGCTTAGCCACAGCCACCACCCTGTCTACCGAATCTACGCAGCATCATCACGGGGATCCCGAGTGAGTGTTTCGTATATAATGAGTATAGTCTGCCAAGTTGGTAATCCATATCCGAGCAGCCTTAGAAAGGAGGGAGACCAGCATTCAGAGCGACTTCCAAATATGACATTTAGCGATTCTCCAAACGCACGGTCGAAGACTGTTACGATAGCTGCAGGACCAGACACCTATGGAGTGCGTAATATATGGGGCCAAATCTGTAACTTGCGCTGATGTTATTGTACTTAGGCCCTGAACCAACATCCATCTATATCATCATCATATACCATCGGAGTTTGCGAGGACAAGGGAACCAGGCGGACAATGGAAGATGCATATGCTTTCGTTGCGGATTTTGCCAACGTACGTGGCCAAGGTTATTGGGCCATATTCGACGGACATGCCGGGAAGCACGCAGCCGAATGGTGCGGACAACATTTCCATGAAGTGAGTAGCGTCATTCCCCACGTCCATGCTTAGGATCTGACTGGCATTGTCCGCATGTTCCCTCACTCAGCACCTGCTCGAGACTTTACGCGGTTCCTCATCCTCAGTTCCGGAAATCCTAAATCAAACATTCCACGGCGTCGATAGGCAACTCTCCAAGCTGGCTGAAGACGGACAGACCCACTCAGGATGTACCGCCGTGACGGCTTTCCTCCGCATAGAGGACGCGGAAGGCGGACAGAACTTCATGCACAACATGTCTGATTCGCTTGCATTCACTCAGGAACCGTCTACTAATGGCAGTCCCGTGGATAGCGACGATGAGTCCCTCTCAAACGGGAAGCGAGGGAAGAAAGGCCCCAACAGCCGGACGCTCACTGCCCCAAAACGCCTCTCCGACTCCATGCACTCCAGCTCGCCATCATCTAAATCATCGTCATCGGACGTAGTGAGCCACACATACATACCCCCCCACTTTGTTGAGGTTTCCTCTGCCCAATTGTCACATCTACGACGCGTGCTATACACGGCCAATGTTGGTGATGCGAGGGCTGTCCTCTGCAGAGGCGGAAAAGCCATCAGGTTAACCTACGACCATAAGGGGAGCGACAAGCAGGAAGCCAAGCGAATCATGGACGCGGGCGGCTTTGTGATGAATAACAGGGTTAACGGTGTGTTGGCCGTAACGAGATCTTTGGGCGACTCGTCAATGAAGGACTTTGTTGTCGGTGCCCCGTATACCACTGAGACTGAGCTGAGAGAAGAGGATGAATTTCTCGTAATAGCTTGTGATGGAGTAAGTCCTTGAACAGTTTTGCGTCTGTATAATCTAGTGACGGGTGTTGTGTGCCTTAGCTGTGGGATGTAGCAGAGGATCAGAAGGTCGTCGATCTCGTCAGGAATGTTGACGACCCCCAGGCAGCTTCCCAAGTACTTTTGCGATACGCACTGGAACACTTCACATCGGATAATGTGACCGTGCTTGTTGTCCGCTTCAAGCATCCGTAGGAGGTCAGACTCAGGATAGGTACATGCTATTACGACTGCCATATATTTAGGTCGCCGGCTCCAAAAACATTCAAGACCAGATTAACATGTTCGGCGGCGGTTTGGCCTGTACCTTAGTATTTTATTATGGCGATGCTTTTTTCGTTCTCTGGGCTTCTTATTATTTACTGGTTCACAACATGTACCGTTTCCTGTATGTGGCGAATAATACTCTCTCTGTGTGACTTGTTATGACGCATGATATATACTAAGAATCGGTCTAAACACAGTATTACTTACTGGATAAATAAATATTGTGCGAGACTCCTCCCTTGACCTTTTTTCAACATTTTTTGTTCACTGGGTAGACGAATAATTTTTTCCTTGAAAATGTCTGATTGAAAGTGTTTACAGCATATGTACAGTGGCAAGCATCTTCCTTCGAGTCACTCCGGGTGAACTTGCAAAGAACGGGCGATACATGAGCGCTGCAGCAAGTGAATTCATTGGGCTTTTAAAGGATCAAGAGATAATGCCAGTAATCATTACTAAGGGCGCTTGGTTTAGGGGTATAACGTTCGCTTCGCATACTCTGAGTGCGAAAGGTCCTGGGTTCAATTCCCAGAGCGTCCATTTTAAACTGAAGTTGTTGCGGATTAGTTTTTGTTTTGGAGATTTGAAGAACAGGTACAATGTTCATTGGCATTTCCCCCTTTAGCTATACCATTTTCCTTACAAAATTTCAGAATACTTTGGCAGGCTGCAATAAAATATCAAATCTAAGTTTATGTGTTACCAGCTTCGGTAACAAAAAGTGGACGTTCTGGGAATTGAACCCAGGACCTTTCGCACTCAGAGTATGCGAAGCGAACGTTATACCCCTAAACCAAACGCCCATTTTCTTGGGTTCCTTCCATATCCCTGATAGCGCATTGTTCTCTGAAATATCATTTCTGTGGTCACGATTCCCTTTCTTTCCCACAGAAGACCAATATGTCCGTGGATTTCGAGACAGCAGTCAAGCAAGAAGTCGCTCGACTTTCTGCTCTTCATCCCACTCCTGAAGATATCCCAGGATGTATGACACTACTAGATAGTTTCTTTAGATGCCACGGTATGTGCTTTCAAGTTGTTTTGTAGAAAGACCTAACACGGAGTTTAGTTCTCGGCTCACAACTAAGGACCATTTACCGCTATGGACATATGGCACAGTGTAGTGGCAAATTTGACGATTTCAAATTCTGTGTAAGCTTGAAAGCGCTCCCCGAGGAGGAGAAGCGGACGGCATGGATACAAAGACGGGCAGAATGGTGGGCTCGTCGACGATTAAATCGAAGTAGTGAGGATGTGTGGGATATGAGAACGTAAGTCCAATCTTCATACATTGATGTTCCGGATCCTTTATCTTCATAAATAGAGAACCACTATCAAACTATCCGCTCCCTCCCTCCGCCCTTTTCAAAGCAATAAAAGAAGATGGAGTCTCAACCGGGATCAACTAATAATAATCTTCACTGGTGCTATAATGTACCTGTGCTACCTTATACATCTTTTCAGAACCTCAATCTAAACCTTCTGTCAACAACTATCCATTTTTCCTATAATGAAATATATATAGTAATGACCTGGGGCTGGTGGCTCAGTCTCGACTCAAGCTCCCCAACCTTTCGAATTTTATCATCCGGGGTGCAAGTTCTGCTCAAGAGATGCCAATCAGGTCAGTTGCCTTACGATACGCAGACTTTCACGAGGTATAAAAGGTCTACTCAAGGAAAACGATCTAATTAACAGGATTTGTTTACGCAACTGGAGGCTTTAAATAATATCAGCCTCACCTGCACACTTCCGACAGACGTCACAAAGGGGGACGACTACAGGATTGGCCGTAGCAGAATTTGCGTGAATAAACTCTTCCAGCCCTCATGTGAGGCAGAAATGCCGCTTCCTAGCACCCTCGCCTTTTCTATTAAAAATTATTTGTTAGAAGAGGCTTCAAGCTAGAATTGAAATATCCCACTCATTTGACTATTTATTTAAATAACTTCACACCTCTTTTATCCGCTTTGAGTCGCTTTGTGGACCGTGACTGTCACACGAGTCACTCACAATGGAATGGTGACGTCGACATTCTGCCACTCAGCATTATCTTTTTCTTAAGACCACGATGTCGCAACGCACAATAATCCTAGCTCTGCTATCAGTTGCAGTATTAGGTGGCACATTATACTCAGTGATTAACCACACATATGTAGACACGTCAGACCCACTTCTCGCACATCTTCCCCACCCACTGCACAACCAGTCTTTATTTGCTCGAAAAACAAATATATTCAATACATTATTTATCAAGAAGGCGTGGGGATGGACATCTGGGGCGTTTGCACTTCTGTGGTTGACCAGTTCGCCAACCACACGCCACCTTCAATCTTGGCTTAAATGGAGTGCAGCGACGATGGTCTGGGCTACATTTGTCGCATGGTTTTTTGGACCCGCCATTTTTGAGCGTTTGACAGTCGCCTCAGGTGGAGAATGTGTCGTCTCACTTCCTCCAGGCTCGCCTGGGCAATCTCCTATTATACTTGCAGTGCCGGCCGAATACTGCTTCACCCGCACAATTATCTCTCCACAAACACATCCTGCCCTATTTACCACCTCTCTCGTATCAACCCTTGACGGTGCTTGGAAAGCCCGTCCGAGATTATACAAAGGCCATGATGTTTCCGGGCACATATTCCTTCTTACCCTGTCCGTTTTATTTCTCCACGACCAACTCCAACCCGCCTGGCGACTCGTCGCGCTAAATAAACCGACAACGCTGGCTTATAAGACTGCAATTGCTTTATCAACATCATTACTTGCACTATGGATAGGCATGTGTCTTGCTACGAGTATTTATTGGCACTCTCCCTTCGAGAAATTAACCGGTTTCGGTGTGTGCTCCTTTTCTTAGTGTTACCATTGTAGCCTCGGGACTCATATTCACTTGGTATTTTAGCTATGGGCATTGCTGCATTTGCATTTATACAGCTTCCGTTCATTGGCCAAGTTGAAAGAGTACAACAGCCGGCCCTTGCAACAAGATTGGACTGAAAACCTTACATATCCTTCTGTATTAATTCGCCTAATTTACCCGACAGGACTATAGTCACCAACTGTATGTTCCCTGTATTCACTTTCTTTACTATTGTATCATAGGTTGAATATTCACCAAGGGATGTCGTATCCAGAATGAACTACACCTTAATGACAAAGCGTTTACAATGAGTATTATGACACCCGTGGCAATATAGTGAGATATGATATATTAATAATATCGCACTTGTTAGGATAGACGAGGGTGTAGCTCTTCCCCCTTTGTATCAAGATGAGGAGGGATCCGTAGATTCATATTCGCTTCTGGCATGCGGGGGAATTTACTGGCAAAGAAATATACCTAAATCAATTATGGTCGAAGGCTGCCACTTTAAAATCCAACAATTCAGATGGCAGATTTATACACCAATCCATAAACCTCATTGAATGTGCTCTGTATTGACCGCCATTATCTGTAGGAAGTAAACGTACTTGAATGAAGCGTTCTAGGCACTTCACTTAAGTGTGTGAAACACTTCGTAGGGCAATTCAACAATTGTTCCTCTAACTCAAACTCAAACTCTTCTTGGATGATCAATCTTAGACACTGATTTTAAGTAGGACAAATCTTACTTTTTATTTTTCCACTTAATTTCAGTTCATAATACACCTTAAACAAGTTCATTAAAATAGTAATCACATTGAATATAAGCTAGTAATACACTACAGAGCAGGCAGTCAACCACCTTTACCATGCTGATAACCCCCATGTTAAGAACTGGGCCTATGAGGGGTTCTGGCACACCACAGGTATGCCAAGGGTGAGTAGGACTCAGCTTCAGCTTATGTGCTGTGCCCTTGTTGAACTGTCAGTGTTCTAATTTCAGGCAGACAGGAACCTAGTGTATTTTTGGGTCTGAGGACAGGTCCAGATTCAGAAGGGGTGCAGGGTATCAAGCAGGACTGGTGTTAGGCTGAGATTTATGTAAGTCAAAATAAGTTAGACAAAAAGTAAACTGGATTCAAAGTCAATATTTGAACTGGATTGTAACTACAATACATTGCAGTATTTATGCTGAGAGCAGGTATTGTTCTACAAATCAAGTGGACAAAGGGTAGACTAAAATGAGAATAAGGATCAGACATGGGTATGAGTGTTAAGAGCTAAACCTAAAAAGGGGAAAGAGGCTCTAAGTTGGGAGGGCCAATGATAGAGATTGTACTAGTTGGGAGGTCCAACTCTATAAGTGTAGTGGAGCTTGGCTTCAACTTATGTATTGTGCCCTCACATGAACTGTTAGGGTGCTCCAGTATTTCAAACAGAGCAGATAGTACAATAGAAACAGAGATCAACACTTAGCTCAGTTGACCAAAGGGTCAAAGTACTAAGAGTTGAGGAGTAAAGGGTCATGGCTTGCTGAGGACACCTAAAGGGTATTATGAGGGGAGGGAAAAAGGCCAAAGATTAGAAGGGGGTAATCTAAGTCAATTTTCAAACTGAAGAAACTGTAGCATACATGAAGGAGCTTTATACTACAGTGAGACGGATGATTGGGAGGCCAATCAGAGAAGTGAGAAAGATGATGGGTCAAAAGAAAGTACTGTCACAAATGTACAAGCTCAAATTCCCATAATATTCAATTTGACTTTTCAACTTTCTTCAACATCCCTTCAATATTTCTTTGATTTTTTGACTTGATTTCTGACTCAACTATCTTTCAAGATCTTTTGACTAATCTTCAACTTGTCTCAGTTTGACATTATTGATGATTTCATTCTGATATCATATTATCATCATAGGTAAATGGCAAATAGTATAAAAGGGCAATGATAGGAGCAAGGGAAGTCAGTCAGAAAACCTGTACCATAATCTGTATCTTTAAGTGAGGTATGAGTTTGGGAGGAGAGAGAGGTGTGGATTGCAAAGCAGGTGGAGGGCACAGAGATGGGGTAGTGTTTGGGGGCTATGATTGTGATGCTGGGTAGGCAAAGTTAGTCTGTGAGGTGCAAGGTGTGTGGGATTGGAAAAGTAGACTATACAGCATAGTCTTCACACCACATCTGCACCTGTCCAACTCAATCTTGACAGTCTCCCAGTGGTGATATCATCCCCTTCCCCTGTCACGAACTGTAATGTATTAGACTTATTTTAATATTATTTTCTGGAAAAAGGAGTCCAATGCTCTATCAAAGTGTGCAAATACTCAATTCACAACAAGGTAAAATAATTTAAGTATTTGATATTAATCAGTGGCAGTCTAAATGGACTTAGAACCCCTGAAGTCAAGAGTTTACTTGAATATATGCACCCTACTTTGCAAAGAAGGTTTTTGAGAGCTGCTTATGTAAGCTTGTTCTTTTTCTGTGAAAACAACCACTAAAATATGAATAACAATTTACTGATTCCAAAATTAGATTCAACTTCGATTCTAGCTAGTTTATATATATTTTATACTATTTATCAAACAGTAAAAATATTAATAAACAGGTCAAAAGATCAACTATAGAATAAAACAATATTTGGCAATATATGCTTTATTTAAATTAATCTACTGGATCTACTGTGATACTAACTTATCAGGATCTTAATGTAGTCTTTATGATTCTGCAAGAATATTCTCAGTATTTAATTATAAGCCAAACCAGGAGAAATTAGAATTATATTCTAATTTCAAACAATAAAACAAACAATTTATTTATTACTTGGTTGATAGCCAACAACTCTAACCGAGGTGGCAACAGATTCCAACAACTTAAATAGAAGTCAGAAAAAGTAATAAAGCCAGCTACTCAATTAAGAGGTGGCAAGGGGGAACAAATAAGT